GACGTCGCTCGTCGGAACGGCGGCGCCTCGCAGCGTCTCGTAGCGCGTGGCGCACGACAGAAACACCATGTCGTGCCGGACCGCGTCCGACGTCTGCTCACCGTAGAGCGACATCCAGTGGACGTTTGTGGCGCCGCCGACGCCAATCGTAGCTCCTTCGTAGAAAAGGCCGGGTAGCACTTGACGCATCGTGGCCTCGAACGCGTCCGTCGTGCCCAAGTCAAAGAGGTCCATGATGCTGTCGACCGACCCCGAGACGGACGTTGCGCCGTGCAGCAGCACCGCGTCGTTGGTCCGGCGCTCGTAAATCTTGATGCCGTGCGCTTCGTGCGTGTGCACAAGCGTTGTGTCAATATGCGTCGTGTTGGCAGCCAAGAGGTCCTGCCCGCGGCGTTCTGCGCCCAGAACGAGCTCTTCATCGAGGCGGACGGGGTCCTTTGAGAGCCGTCGCACGGCGCGCTTGAAAAGCTTGTGGTCGTCCGAGTCTTTGGCGTCAACCTGGCCGCGCAGGTCCTGGAAGCTCCAAGTCTGCGTCGAAGTCACTTGCGCTGATACGAGCATCCTTTGTGCTGCAGATGGAGTGATGAGCAATGAACCTCCGTAATCAGCCAAAAAGCAGCTTCAACGAACGGCCGTGGTACGTCAAGTATACTGAACGTCATACGACGGCCAGGTGGTCGCGGCGAACACGCAACTTTTAGAAAGTGCAAACCCGCGGGACTGGTTCAAGACGTCTCTGGGTCGCAGGAAATAGCACAACGGCACGCGTCGTCGTCGCTTGCGGTGGTGCGTCGCGCTACCCAAGCGAATGGCTTGATCGAGACGAGGGCCCAATCATGGGGCATGGGGCCATGGGCCCTAATGAACGTGGTCGCCGCAATGAACGTCAGACGTTGCCTGTGATTGGCTCAAAGTGGGTCATACTCTTGGTGGGAAACTGGGAATGCAAAATTAGGTCGACCAGCTGCGCGCGAACAGAGGCAATTGCGTGGAAAGATATCCTCGACGACTTCGCGAAGACGTCTGCGAGGTTGATCGCGAGGCGTAGTATGGTGATGGGTACGTGCACCTGTGAACGACCAAGCGACGGTATCAATATTTCGCGCGCCAAGCAACGAACCAGACCAGAAACGCCAATCGATTCGCGGAAGAAGCTCGACAAAGCCGCGTTGAAGTGAGCAGGTCTTGACGTGGTACTACTTCAAGTAAGCGCAGCGTTGGTGCACGGCTTGCATCGTGGACCATTGTCTTCGTACCCAACCGAGACAGCCAGCGGGAGCTATCGCAAAGGCGCGCCATATTATTGTGTCCCGAGCGACGGAGCTATTATTACCATGAGCTTGCCGGGCTGACTCGCTGCAGCTGCCTCGAATTGCTATGACGCAGAGTGAGACGAGTGCGAGAAAAACGACCGCCGACATCGTAGACCATGTGGGTGCACAGACATTGGATACCCGGTAGTCCACCACGAGGCGCAATCGCACAAAGTTGGATTGCTGCAGAAGCCCCGATCTCTCGCTCGTTAAAACGATGATGCACCAATTTAAAGTTCCAACAAATACATAGGTCTGGGTTGTAGAGACACGTCAATCGACTTTGCATTGGCTTGGCAGCCATTAATGTCTGCTGCAGCTCTCCTGAGTCTTCCACCCCAATTTGGCTGTTGCTTCAACTTCAAGCGCGGAAAGAGTGATGGTGGGTCGAACTTTATCGAATAGTACACGTGAAGTACGATGTCAACGAGCCAATAAGAATCACTCCTAAATATTGCTTGATGACCAACGAGACGAGCTTGGATAGACCACAACGGTCGACTCATCGTGCTAGTACCGGTACGTACACATAGTTCGTATAGCGCTACAAAGCACCCTTCATAATCTCTGCGTTTTCAATACCCCTTCTCGTTGGCTCCCTTGGCTCCCGTTGCCCAGACATCGATCGCGCGTGGGTGGCCGCCCACCTCAATGGTAGGTGTTGTAAAGACAGCGGACCAGGTCAACAATGTCCCGTAGACGGCGTACTTCATACATGTTGGCGTGTACTGCTATTAGAACAGTACGTATTGTCTTAAGACTATCAACACTCGAATTGTGTTGCTATGCCGTTCGATCTGCAGCAACTCTGCTGATAACTCGAATGCCGGTTGAGAATCGAGCTAGCCATTGGCATGCTTCTCCATTCATCTGAAACGGATACGCCATTGTGCATCTCATCGCATCGCGATGCACCGTCCATGCATAGCAATGGTAGTGTCCCGCGTGCAATTATAGCTCTGCGGCGTGACGTCTGGGCGATGCGTCGTCGTCGGGCCCAGAGCCAGCTTTGGTACCGCGTTGGTCACCCTTGGTTGTGATAGCATCACACGTGAGAAATTATTTCCCGCATCTTATTTAATACATTGCCAACATATCAGGCTCGCTTTTGCTACGACCTGCGGGACGAGGAAGTGGGGCGCGGAAGTGCGAACGCACTTGAAGGTCGTGGTAGATGCCGATTCACCCGTGGCTTTTTTCAGCTGGCGTCACAAAGGGCATGTTTTCGAAGTTGGCCGTTTTTAACAAGCATGTCTTATCTAACCAATCTTGACACGGAAGTGCGCCGTCTCGCAATGCGGCGCGGCAGCTGGGTTCGCCGGTGCCACGTGGTGGCCCGTCCGCGGGACTCGACACCAGCGTTACTGCGCGAGGCGTCTCGGCTGCGTGCACCAAGGTCATTTCGAAAGGAAGGCGGCGATGGTAGTACGTCCACGATGTGTGCTGCTGTCATGTGAACCATGTCGCTCTGGTAGGACTTTTTCAAGCGGCGACCCAAGACGTCGGCCATGGCCACATCGGCGCGCAATGCTGCGTTTGCCCATCGCCTGCAGCTGCTCGAGAAGGCGCCGATGGATCCCACGGTGCGCACTCGCCTCGTGACGGCCGCGCGGGAATCCAGCGCCACCTTTGTCGCGTTCTGCACGTCGCCCAAGATTACGAGTGCGTTCACGTACCTCGGCGATGACCGGCGCGTGCAGCTCTTCGAGGGCCGCGTTCACGGACGCTACGTCGCCAAGGCCGTGACGCTGGTGCCTGGGACGGTCCAGGACGTGCTCGCGGCGCTGGCCGTTGACTCGACGCCGGCATTGGCCAAAACCATGCGCATGCTGTTTGGAAAGGCCTTTGCAGACGGCATGACGCTGCACGCCGCTGCCAAGCCCGTGGAAGACAGCGACGGTGTGCACGTGCACTGGCTGGCACTTCTCGGTGGCCAAAACATGGGCGACATGGCCGAGTGCGATGCGGTGTTCACGTCCCATACGCAGTACTACGAGCCAGACGCAACCGACGCCATGGAGCTCTTGGCGACACCGACATTCTCGCCCGCCGTCGTGGCAGGCAGCCACGTGTGGGAGTCGACGACGATCCTGCGGTCGCTTGAGCCAGTGCCGTCGCGCCACCCGACACCTCGTCTCGACCTCCGCTCGTCTGGTGTCTATGTCGAGTCAACGGTCAGCGATCGTGGATTCAACGAAAACGTCGTGCGTGTCACCATGGTTCTCTCGCTCGCAGGCAATACAACCACGAACAGTGTCGAGCGATGGCTGCAGGGTCTTGTGTCGGGCGCAACGACCGAGCTCAGCCGAGTCGCCCGTCGTGGCACCATCCAGCTCATACCCCGGGAAGAGTGGGCGCACTCGCGCGCTTGTGCCCAATGCGCTGTCACGTTCCGCCTCTTTCGGCGGCGGCATCACTGCCGCCTCTGCGGCCACGCGGTCTGTGGCACGTGCTCGTGCGCCATGGACCTCGACTACCCAATGCTGGCCAACGGCGACGTCGTGCGGCACGCAACCGTGCGCAGTTGCACCCGCTGCGCGTTCGAGAGCCACACCCTCGTGCACCGGGGCACTGGGCGCAGCCACAGCGCACCCATGGACATGGCCGTGTCCGACCCGACGCCATCCTCCCGGCGGCGCGTCTGGAGCATCAACATGGCGCCACTGTCTTCGTCAGCGTCAAGCAGCCGTCTTCAGCGCGGTAGCAGCTCGTACTTTGACTTTTCTGACTCGGAGTGCGGCACGCCACTGCACGCCGCGACGCCCAGCCGGCGTCCTTGTCAACCGATTGCCGAGATGGGCGGCGATAGCAGCGTCGGGTACAAACCCCTGGATCGCGCAGAGCGCATGCGGCGACGTGCGTCACCACCGAGCATCAAACCTCGGATCAAGCTCATTGAAGACGACTTGCTGGAAGAGCTCCTTATGACAACGTCGCAAAGTCACGACGAAGACGACGACCGTCTCCGCTTCTCGCAAATCGATTTGAGCGTCTCGCCCCTCGCGCCGGACGACACATTCCCAAGCCTCTCGAGCCGCGGCGCCGTCGCACGCCAGCTCGAGAAGCACCTATCGGAAGACCCGATTCTCGTTGATTTCGGCGACGCGCTCTCCAGCAAGCGTTACTCGGCGAGGAGTGAGGACATGATTTGCCTTCATACGACGACAGTTTAATTACTCTAATACCGGTCGTTGCTGCTTCACCGGTGGTACTGCCATCGATGGAAACAGTGAGGGATACGACTACATCTGGAGCTTGATCATATCGGAGACAAGGGCCGGCTCGGACGGCTGCTTCTTGGTGCCGTCAAAGACCACGAAGCCCAGCGGCTCGGGCTGGGGCTGCACGGGTACGTCGCCAGCAGATGACGGTGACGCCGGTCGCTTGGCGCTGCGCCCACCGGCGCTAACGTCGAACCCGTTTTCGTCGTCGAGCACGTAAACCTCCGAGCCAGACGATGACCGATCGTCAAGGCTGTTGAGACTCTCGCGGTCAGTCTCCGCGACAGGCGGCGTCGGTGTGTTGACTGGATGCAGGTTTACAAATGATCCTTTTGTCTGCAATAAACGTGCAGACGAGTCGACGGACCGCAGCGACGTGCCGAGGAGCTCGTCCAGCGCCGAGATCTCACTTGCCGAGACAACCGACGCCTGCGACGAAGATGGCAGTCGCTGACGACGCGGCTTGACCGACTCGTCAAAGCTGCCGCTGGACGAAGCGAAGCTCTTGGTGAGGTTCGCCGAGGACGAAGTGCTTTGATGTGTCCGCGGCTCGTCAAAGCTGCGTGTATACTCGAACGACGCTGTGCTCGACCGGGACCGGCGGTCGGACGACGAGCTGCCACATGTGTCGAAACACCGGAGACAGCTCCGGAGACTCGTGAGCTCGACGCGCTGGCCGTGGTCGATTACCGGCGTGTCCAGTTGCATCGTCTTGGAGCAGTCTCCGCAAATGGACTCGCCGCAAAGCCGGCAGTGGTGGCGCCGGCGGAACGCGCGGAACGATTTTTTGCACAGCGTGCAGTGTTCGCGGTGGTGCCATTTCTCTTTCGGGACGAGCTCGATGCGCCGCAGCGCGCGCGCGAGGTTCTCGAGACTCAGCGCGAGGTTGTGCATCCACTTGGAGCCGCCGACGGAGCCCGCGTCGTTGTCCAACGAGAGGGCAAAGGACACGCGGCATGTATCGTCTTCGCTCGTCGTTTCGACGTAAAATCCAGCGTGGCGAAAGTAGTAGCGGGTGCAGCCCGTCGTTGTCTGGCGCAGGAGCGGAATTTCCTTGGCGAGGTCCACCGACTCCCAGACGAGCGACCCGGACGTCGCGTCCGAGCGGGACGTGAACGGGAGGAGGCAGAGGCCGGCGTCCGTGTGCTCGTAAAAGCGCGCGTGCGAAGCAAACACAAAGTCGCGGGACTCGATCTTGTCCGTGTTGAGCGACATCCAGTGCACCGCGATGGGCTGCGACGCGACCGTCGAGAGCGTCGCGCCCTTGTTCGCGTACAAGTCGAAGAACTTGTGCATCGTCGTGTCGAAGTCCCACGTGTTGTTCATCTGAAACGAGAGAAGAATGTCCTCGACAGAGCCCTGCACCGTCGTCGTCGCCTTGACCATGTACTGCTTCTTGTGGTTGTGTCCTTCGAGGAGTGCCACGCCCCGCTTCTCGCGCACAAATCGGAGGGTCGATGGCCCATCGAGCATGAGCTTGACAAAGTCGGACGATCGCTTCTCCATGAGCTCGACCAGACGCGCCTCGGTGGAGGGCCGCAGCGGCTTGGGGCGGAGCGACTGTGCCTGCTCGCCAAAGATTTTGTCCACGCGCTGCGCACCCCCGACGTACGCCATGTCCATCATGCTGCTGTGTGGGATGGAAGAAGCCAACTGAGGCGCTGTCGAATGGAGTCGGCGTGTATAAGCGCAGCCAAGATGGATGGCAAGTGGTCACGCCACCGGCTGCTGCCAAAAGATCTGGTTCTGTGCTATTTGTAGCCACCGATGCAACATGGCGCCAACCCGCAGCTGCAACGCGGTACAAGAAGCGCTCACAACAGACAACAACGATCCTTCGTCGCCATCTCGCAGCCCGCGGGACGGCCTCGGCGCGGCAAGAGTAGCATGCCACCACTCTGGGCATTACACCGATCGAAGCGGTGTCGAGCCTTTCGTCATCTATCACCCTACGACGAGAGGTTTGCCGTAAAACGCATTCGAACGCCACCACGTGGAGCGTTCGATGGAACGCGACCACGTGACAGCGCTGCATGAGGTTATCATGCGGTGCTAAACGAACAAGACGGATGGACTGGCGACAGATTTGGATGTTCACGACTCGCAGCAAGTATGATCAGCTGCATGATCTCTCTCAGCACTCCGTAAACGACGGCCGCGATGACGCCAGAGAGCGCTGGCCCAATCTTGTGTCGATGTGTCAAAAGCAGATGGACAAAGCTTACCTTCTGTGCAGGCCAAAGATATACCCTATGTGCAGGTCAACGATCGAAGGACGCACCTCTGTTGTGGATTCGTCGCCAGCTATCGTCGCCGTCATGACGACGCGCAGACGAAGCAAACTCAACGAACGTACTGACGTAACAAGTAATACGCAAACATCCTGTGCGACGTTATCCTACACATTGAAAAATCGGTCGAGGACGAAGTGCATTAGATTGGAAGCTCCTCGTTATACGACGTCGTCATCGATTGCACAAGAAACGGGGACAGCTTTGCATGGCAGTATTCGTGGACGTGTACCAGTCGATCGGCGTCGCTGCCGCAATTGCCACGTGAGGTAGTTGTGCAGAGGGGACGAGGCTGATGTCGGCGAAGCCTATCATCTGTCTGCCTCCACGCGTGCTTTCGATGATTTTAATACCGATATAGCGTCATGCTTCAACTGGTAAAACTGATTCAGAAGGCGCTAACTCACACAGTACTTGCAAAGTTCGTAATCAATCAGTCGGCAATATGCAGTACAGT